GTGTAATATTGATGGGGTGAACTAAGTAGGGTCATATATGGTGGGTTGCTTTTCGGTCAAAGGAGAGAAAAATTAGGCTAAGGTTTTATGGGTTTATTTTTGGATTTTGGTTTGGTTTTGGTGCATGTCATTCGACCATTTAAGGTAAGGATGGGTCCGTGGTTAAAAGGGTTGGGTTGTATGGCTTGGTAGTGATGAATTCATTCCAGAAAGGGTCATAACTTTTAGACATTATTCTGTTGATTTGTTTAATGACTTCGGGTTCTGTAGTGGTGCCCGAGGATATATCAGCCTTGGTTTGCTAAGCCTCATGTTTTGATGTTAACAAATAATATAAGAGCTAACGTTTGTTTAAGTGTTTTAGGTGCAACAAGAATCCATTAAGATTCGATTCTCAAGAATGAAGTCAAAACACTAAACTAGCATAGAATATAGGTAGAAACCGATGTAAGGATATGACTTTATATACCTATATTCACAAGCTCAAAAGCACTCCCAAAATATGTTTAAAACCTTCTTATAATCATTTTCAAACATCCAAAAGGTTTTAAACAAAATTGGAAATGATTTAGACAAAAATATAAAAAATCACCAAAACAGTCAAATGGTACTCTATACCATAAGGGGTACCGTGAGCCAATCTAAGAAGCACTACAAGAAAATATGCTTTTTACCACACATATTTTTCCGCACATAACTAATGCGGTAAGTGATAAATGCGTGTTTAACTTTTTCACATTTATGAGTGTTGTAGATTGAAAAATAATTATGGGCCTGTTTGGGAATAGTGTTAGCAATTAGCATTAGTGTTTTGAAAAGGCTATTTACGGGCAGCGTTTAGCGTTAGCGTTTTCAAAATAATCTGCACCGTTAAAATTTTATCCAAAATGCTAACGCTAATCTCTAATGCTATTCCCAAACAGGCCCTATATCTATGTTTACCCAGTTTGGTGTTTCCAATACACAATAAGAAATTAACCCTTTTTATCATTCTTTCTTTTCAAATAATACACACAAAAAAAGTTCCAACCCATATAATTATTCCTTTTCCGTAAATTACGTTTACGCAAATACCACAACCGCATCAGACTCAAGCATTAGATTCACCCATAAATCCCAAATCGGTTCTTCATCTCGATTCTTGAGACGCGAGCAAGATCGAGGGCAACGAAGGGAAAGAGATGACGTCAAAGATAAGGTTCGAAACCAGAAATCCCGACCATGGATCTCGCGAAGAAGAAACCAGATGCAGTGATGGAAGAAGAATGTAAAGGGCCACAATTTAGAGAGCCTACTACCGTTAGAACTTGGCGACGTCAAGCGGAAGTAACAAAACTAAATCCAACATCAAATAGTATTTTCAATGGTATAATTCTGACGTATTTCTTCAATTTCCTCTTCATGTATGCATTGGTTTCGTATTTAATTTCCAATTATAGTTATATTGTGTATATTTTAGGGCTTGAACGGTTTTGGATTTATATTCAATCCCGTTAAATGATTGATTTTGTGTTGGTTTTGAATGTAATGCATACTGTGATATGTTTTTTATATATAGTTCTGGCTAGGTTTTTGTCTAATTTTGATATGATTTTGCTTCTGATTTTTTCTTCTTGCCCGTTGGTCTGCCTTTCTTCTTTGGAATCCCATTCCTATTAGAACTAGAAACAGAAAATTCATTCACAACTACCCCTATTTGCCATTTTCAATATCCAGTCTAGTTTTATTGTGTATGTTTTAGGGCTTGAACATATTTGAATTTATATTGAATCCTATTAAATGATTGACTTTGTGTTGGTTTTGAATCTAATGCGTTCTGTGATTGTTTGTTATATGTAGTTCTAGCATGATTTTTATTTTGATTTTGTTTCTATTTTGCAAGATTTCACAATCTTGAGTATTTGTATTTAATGTTTATGTTGAGAAGTTAACCTGCTAAAGTAATGTCTGGATATGGATTCAAGTAAGACTTTCAGATTTCATCCGCATTATTTTTTCAACTAAAAGTTTCGCTTTCTTATGCTCTATGTTTTGCTATTGTTTAACTTAACTCATGTTCTTAATTCTAGAAATGACCTCGCAATTGATGAATATGCTTCATTTTTTTGATAATATTGACTCATTGGCACAATACAGTAAGTGGGCAGACAAATAGACCCATGACATAGTCACTTTTTTGAGACAAAGTCCTTCAAAGAGAGTCTCGATGTTCCATATTCTTAGTGATAGAATTATTTTGGGTTCCTATGTCACTAATATACAATGATGTTTATAGAGAACATACCAAAGTTGTCAGATTCATTTCACTTGTAGTATCTCTTGGCCTTTTCATATTATACACTATCAAAGTATCAAGATATGGTATAATCATTTTCAGCACTTCGACTCACTACACTCTAGGCATTTTGATTAATAGGCAGTGATTTTCTATGTTTTGTTAGGATCCCTAAGCAAATTGGATTATATATATGTGGAAATGGTTTACTGACTATATATTTACTTCATATGATTTCATCTTTTTAAAATAAATGTGCTTGCATATTACATTATAACATGTACAATATTTGTTTAAAACTTTACAGGGTATGGTGTATATATTGTTCTAGACAAAGAGAATATGCTCTCAAATGACTCTTGTAAAAATACTAGGTATATCTTTCTTAAGTTTTTTTTATGGATAATTAAGGTTTTTTTTTCAAAATTGGAATAAAGTTTCTTTGAGTAGTCACATTATCTCTGTGTTTGTAGTTTTGTCTTGCATCATGGGGAGCTAGATCAAACATTACCTAGTGATCAATTTTGGTTGCTAAAAAACTACTTTACTTCATTTCGAGGTTGCTGCCTAAATCTTGATACAGTACCCTATACTACTTATGTTTTTCCACACCCTTTTTTTCCTTTCCAATATTTAAATACTGTATTAGTTGTACCTAGATTGTACCTTTATTTTCATTATTTTAATTATTTACTTTTGCATCTGCAATGGTCAGTTTAGTACGTATCTGATTGGGTTAAAAAATCGAACTCGCAGCTAAATTGCTAGATGAATTAGAAGATAAGCTCAGAAATGGGAAGAATGATAGACTGATATTCTGAGGATGCCAACTGTGATAGTTGCATGCTCCTATAATATATGGAGGACAAAGAGTCTAAAGATTCATGACATAAGGGAGATTGTTGCAGGTATCCAATATGATCATACTTCAGACAATAGTCTTTATTTAATCTAAACGTAGAGTTAGCCTTTTCTGATGTAGTTTGTTTGACATTTAGTATTGATGGTTGTAGTCTATTTTTTCAAGTTTTATTTTGTATACTGATGAATTGGCTTACTTATTGACGGTTTTATTTTAATAAAATGCTCGTGTGCTTTTTTAAAAAAATAGTTGGAATTGTAATTAGTACTTTATTAAAATTCTTTAATTTAAATATCAATAATTAAAATATAATTGTTATCTTGTTATAAATAATGAATTTTATATTAATATTATAAAAAAATTAGTACAACATTTGCAACACTAAAAAGTGTTGGTTACATAAGAACACATATAAGTGTGGCAAATCAAAACATTAGCCACACATGCTAAGTGTCATAAATATATTTATTAGCTGAACTTATTTAAAAGTGTGGCAAAATATTCCCCACATTTACGTAGCCGCACTTAGGTCATGTGTGGCAAGTCAACTTTTCCACATTTATAAGTGTGGCAAGTCAACAACATTTTTAAGTGCGTCGAAAAGCCATCTTTCTTGTAGTGAAGGTACCCCCTACTGTTAGGTCGGGACCCCCCTACCGTAAAGAGTACCGTGAGTCAATATGAGAAGGTACTGTTAGAATAATAGACCAACGCTAGAGGGGGGTGAATAGCGTTTGATCAAGAAATCGCAGAAAAAAAAATTAAAGGAGAAGTAAAGCGAAGAGTAAGAGGCACACCAAATTTACCCTAGTTCACCACAACTTGTGGCTAATCCAGCCTCCCGAGAGACTCTCTCGAGCTACACTACTATCTCGTTAAGCTTAACAGTGCTTAACAAACCCTAACAACTTAAGAATTCGAGTCACACGAACCTCAACGAAACCTTCGAAGGAAACAACCCTTCCTTCGAATCAAACGGGAGAAATACTTTCTCTCAACGTGTCTTAGAACACAAATACACTCAAGAACGAGACTCTCTTTTAGAGTAGATATTAAGTAAAATAAGTACGCTCAAGAACAACTCAAACTTCACACAAATTGGCTCTAAAAAGCTATGGAAAAAGATGTTGTTTGAATGCAATGAAAGTAGGAGAATTGTGAAGTGAATTGATGAGAAAAGCAGACCTAAACACCCCTTTTTATAGTTCCAAAATAGGCTCCAACGGACCAATACATTAAAGGGGTGATGGACTTGATTTATGGGATTGAATAAATTGTGGATCTGCAGGATATTGGCTTCCCAGCAATGTATGGTGTCTACCCATCGCTGGTAGGCCAATTTTCCTTCAGTTTTGAAACCAACGGTCACCTACCCATCGATGGGTACAAGCTTCCCTTCGCTGGATGGGAGGTTGACTTCCAAACAAGGAAAGAATCAACCTTAAATGACTTCCAGCGGTCATGCCTCCCCATCAATGGTTATGCCTTCCCATCGCTGGGTTCCCATCGATGGGTAAACGTCCCCATCGCTGGGTAAGGTCGTTCTGCCTTGTGTTGATGTTGGACCAAGGCTTTAACAACGATGGGTAGAACTTCCCATCGCTGTTTGGCATGGTTCTGGAACTTGGTTGGGCTAGAGGACCGCTTACCCATCGATGGGTAGTTCCTCCCATCGCTGGGTGGATGGTTAGTCAAAAACCCATGGTTTATGCCTGAACCACGGCCTAGCCAACCGATGTAAAAACCGACCGAAAAATTCAAAGTTCTCCAAAATAAAAACCAAGTGTTTAAAACACTCATTTGATGTATTTTGCTAAGAAATCAAGTGAGAAAATCTAAAAACCACGTCATTTGGGTAAAAACCACGGCTAGCCAAGTTTATGCCGTTTTACGTGGTTTTTCCCAAACAACCAAAAATGAAAGGTGGTTTTCAAGGTGTTTTTGTTGGAGAACTGTTTAAACATGCCAAAAAGTAAAAACCAATCATAACCTTTTTATCTTCCCCTTTTGACATTAACAAAAAGAATTAAAAGTAAACTTTTATTCATTAAAGAGAAGGAAAATGCGGAATACAACGGAATGGAATTTAAAAAAATACAATCATAGTTTTAAAAAAGGAAAGAAGGGAAGAGTCTAGGCATCGGCGTCCTCGTTGTCCTCGACGTCCATGGGATCACCATCGACTGCGTCCTCAAAGTCGGCCTCGTTGGGAGAGGATGACGGAGTGTAGGACTCGTCGTCCTCATCCTCGCCCTCAAAGTTTTGGCCGAGGATGGTGCTGTCAAAGGGCGGCATGACGTAGTTGATGCCGCGGAAGAGCGCCGTCATGTCGTGGTGTTGGTGTTGCAACGTCCAATCCATCCGCTCCATGTACTGCCCCATGTTGTCCACCGTGAGGGTTAGCCGATTCAGGGTGTCAGCTATGGACTGCAACGAGGCCCGGGCGGGAGCGGGTGCAGGTGCGAGAGCGGGGGCACGGGCACGACTCGGTCCAGCACCGTCTTGGTCTCCGCACTTCTGCTTGAAGGTCTTGTCGGCGATGACCCACAGCTTCGTCATCTTCGTGCTTGGCCCGGCGATGTGGATGTCGGCGGAGACGATGGGGTCCATGACGAGGAAGGCGCATGGCAGGCTCCGCTCGGTGGCGATGGAGGCGCAATCCGCCATGTGAATCATGATGAATTTCGCCCAGTTGATGGAGGTGCCGTGCATGATGGCATGAATCGCCTTCAAGTCCTCGTTGAAGAGCGAGGTGTGGCTGCTGTCCCGGGGGCGAAGAATCCAAGTGATGATGTAGAGAAGGAGGTGCTTGTCTGGTGGGGCCGAGTGGATCGTCGGCGCGCCGCTGTGGCAGATCAAGTTGGTGATCCCAAGCTCGCAAATGACGACCGCCTCGTTGTTGAGGATCCAATCGTCGCCACCGTACGTCGCGATGTCGTCACCACGGATGGGCAGCCCTGCGATCCGTGCAAATGTCGGCAAGTTAATCTCTATGTCGTAGAGATTGATGATGCTGTAGATGGTGTACCCGTCACGACGCAGATTTGAGTAGAAGGCCCGGACATAGGCGGGATTGAAGGAGGTGCGGCTCTTGGAGACGAAGGGCCACAAACCCGACTCTTTGAGTTGATTGTCGAGGTCGTGGTACCCTTTGTCTTGGGGATACAGCTCCGGTAGCACGCGAGGCGGAGAGATCGGGCATTTGGCAAAGTGATTGAGGAAGCACGTGAGTTCTTCCTCCGACCCGAACTCAAGAAATGAGCCGTCTACATAGGGAAACGGCTGGAGCGCAGAGGTCGTAGCTTCAGCGTTGCCCTTCTTGTTGGAGGCCTTCGACTTGGACTTTCCACCGGCCATTGTTGAGGTGTTTTTGAATTAGGATGATGAATTTGGATGAAAAGGCTAAAGAATGAAGATTGTGATGTTAAAAGTGTGTCTAAAATGGCCAAAGGTTATGGAAATATATAGGGAGAGGAGATTAGGGCCGTGTGAATTCAAAATTATAGCTGTTGGGCATTAATGGATGTGCCCAGCGGCTAATTTTTTTGAAATTCAACTGCCTTCCCTGCGATGGTAGGATCTACCCATCGATGGGAGGGTCACCACTGGAAAGCAAGGAAGAGCCAAAGGCTGCCTTCCCAGCGATGTTTGCATTTTCCCATTGATGAGAAGGTGGCTTCTGGAAATTGATGAAGAAAAGAAAATGGCCTTCCCAGCGATGTTAATACTATCCCATTGCTGGGTTGGTTGTTTTGAAAATCTGTTAAAAAATTTTAAAAATATAGTGTCAAACACCCAGCGATGGGAGAAAGTTCCCATCGATGGGTAGACTGGTTCTGGAAAAATTTTAGAAAACACAAGGCATTCACCTAGCGATGGGATAAAGTGTCCATCGATGGGTAAAGAGTTTCTGGAAATCCGTTAAGTGTTTTTAAAAAAATAGAGTCAATCACCCATCAATGGGAAGAAGTTCCCATCGATGGGAAGAGGGGTTCTAAAAAAAATAAACATCCCTCCCAGCGATGGTATAACCCACCCATCGCTGGTTCCCCCTGACTTCCAGAATTCTTCACTTCGAACCGTCCCTGCAAAAAAGAGTTAGAAAACCCTCCGACGCTCAAGTTAGTAACTGTTTAAACAAAGATAAAGAAATGATAAAATGCACAAATTAGATCATCATGGAGTCAAGGATTCCGAGTTCACTATGAATGCAGAAGAACGGCTCTTTCTCTAAAGGTTTTGTGAAAATGTCGGCTAATTGGTTGTGTGTTTCAACAAACTCAATTTCGACATCACCTTTGAGAACATGATCTCAAATGAAGTGGTGCCTAATGTCAATGTGTTTCATCCTTGAGTGAAGAACGGGGTTCTTCGTCAAGCTTATGGCGCTAGTATTATCACAACAAAGTGGAACATGACTTATACTAAGGCCATAGTCCACGTGTTGTTGCTTCATCCAAAGGATTTGAGCACAACAACTACCGGCAGCAATGTATTCCGCTACGGTTGTGGATAACGCAACACTGACTTGTTTCTTACTAAACCATGAAACTATAGAGCTACCAAGTAAGTGGCAAGTCCCACTCGTACTTTTACGGTCCAATTTGCAACCGGCAAAGTCCGAGTCGGAATAGCCAACAAGATGACAAGAAGATCCTTTTGAATACCACAGTCCAACGTTAACCGTGCCAACAAGGTATTTCATGATCCGTTTCACCGCCGTTAAGTGCGATTCCTTCGGACACGATTGATACCTCGCGCAAAGGCATACGCTGAACATGATATCCGGCCTACTAGCGGTAAGATAGAGAAGGGATCCGATCATACCTCAATACTTTTTGACTTCAACTTCCTTACCTTTCTTGTCTTTGTCAAGATGGTCGGACGTGCTCATCGGGGTTGCCATGGCTTTGGCGTTGTCCATTTCAAACCGTTTTAGGAGCTCCTTGCAATATTTAGTTCTGCAAATGAACGTGCCATCTTTCATTTGCTTGACTTGGAGTCCCAAAAAGAACGTGATCTCTCCCATCATTGACATTTCGAACTCGCTTGTCATTAACTTTGAGAATTCCTTGCACAAAGACTCGTTAGTAGCACCGAATATGATATCGTCTACATAAACTTGAACCAAAAGGATGTTATTGTTTTTACTCTTGATAAAAAGTGTAGTGTCAACCTTTCCCCTTTGAAACCCACTGTCCAAAAAAATTTACTCAAACGTTCGTACCAAGCACGGAGTGCTTGTTTAAGACCGTAGAGTGCTTTCTTCCTTTGCGCTCAAATTCCTTCTTCATAAATTTGTGGAATTTCTCGATGATGAGTCCAAACTCGTTGTCATCATCGGTTGAGGCTTCTTCCACCGTTTCCTTGGTCGCTTTGAGTGCTATACCTTTCTTCTTTTGTTCATCCAAAGACGGGGTTAGGATAGTGGATTCATAAGTTTTGAGATTACCTCTTAACCCATCGATGGTGACGTTGGAGACTCCGATGGATTCATAGATTGCATCGGCCTTTGACCTCCATTCGGGTGTGAGACTCCGCAGGATTTTCCTCACAAGATCCTTGTTGGCGTAAGTCTTTTTGAGGGCATGAAGATCGTTGATGATCTTGGAGAACCGATCGAACATGTCATCGATCTTTTCGCCTTCCTTCATCCTAAACATCTCGTATTCCTGCGTTAGGAAGTAAATTTTGGCTTCCCGAACTTGGTCCGTACCTTCGTATGTGACCTCCAGCTTGTCCCACATTTCTTTGGCGGTGGTGCAGCAAGAGATCTTACGATAATCATCGGGGTTGACTGTGCAGTAAAGCATGTTGATTGCCTTAGTGTAGTTCTCCACCTTTTTGATGTCTTCGGCATCAAATTTGGTCCTCGGTCTATGAGATGAGTTTTTCACCAACCTTCTTCATTGGCGTTTCTTCGCCATTCTTGATGACCAACCACAATTGGAAGTTGGTTGAGCGGATATAAATTCTCATCCGCTCTTTCCAATATGTGTAGTTGGTGCCATCGAAGAGTGGTGGCCTTGAGGTTGATTGACCTTCTCCGATCCCTGCATAAAGATTTCTAGAAGATGTAACGCCCCAAAACATACCCTAGAATTATTAATGAATAAATAATCAATTAATCACAATTGTTTTGATTAAAATAAATTATTGTTGGGCTTTGGGCCGATATGAAATTTGTTTTGACATCTAATATCAAAATTTGGATAAGTCTCATAGAGATAAATCCAATATGTGGACTATTTGTGTGGTCTTGATTGGGAACCTGAGTACAGACCCAAATCAAGAGTAAATAAAGAATTTGTTTAGAATGTGAATATTGAAATGATTTGTTGAAATAAATCATTAGAACAAATGATATGAATTAAATGTGAGAAACCTTTTTGAATAAAGATCAACTAAATCAATTTTTACTCTGTCAAAGTCAAAAACCCAAAAATATGATGTCAGAAAAAGTATAACCAATAAATATAAAAATTATATCGTTGGATAGAGTTTAACTGTCCGATCGTAACGGTGAAAACAGAATTCAATTCGGAGAAAGTTGGACCAAAAAGTGTACCCTGACTGGAACCAAATTTGTCCCAATCAGGGAGTGGCGTGTAAAATCCTACAAATTGCTGCACACTCCACTCAGCCGATTACACAGGGAAAGGAAGCAACGTAAATTTGGCTCCTTCCCCATCACCATTCCTATATAAGAGAACCCAAGCTCCTTCATTTCTTCACCAAACCTCTACATTCTTTATTCTATTCTGTTCTTTGTTGAGAGAGGAGTACAGTGGTGCTATCAATTTGGTGAGAGGTCGCCGGAGCTAACCACAAACCTCGCCGGAAGTTTTGCCGGAAAATATCCAAAACCATCGTTAAACTTCGAGGTAAGCCCGTAGATATATCTAGTGACTAGAATGTTCGTATAGATCATTTCTACGTTCATAAACGGTCGTTTGGTTGAGTTTTGTGTTTGACATGTTTGAAGAACCAAGAATCATAAACCATGAAATTGATGTTAAAACTATGAATTAATTATGCAAAAATGATCTATGAACCTTAGAGAACATCTCTATATAGTTTCGTTGAAGTTCGATAACTAAAAACGGTATTTCCAAAATTGGACCCGAACGAAGAAGATGATGAACAGTGGATGAAACAACACTGTCTGGATCGATCCAGGGGCTTGGATCGATCCCCTGGGAGTGATTTTTCATAGTTTGGATCGATCCAGAGGGCTGGATCGATCCCCCGAAGTTCTGATCCGAAAATTTGTCTGAAATTGCTATTTTTGAGCTCTAAAATCCTATTTTTGATACCAATGGATTATGATCATTATAAAAATGATTTACCATAATAAAAATGATGTTTTTAACAACTAAAAATGTTATGTGTTGCATGACGGTAAGTTCGGGTGTTAACACTCGAAGCTAGGCCGCTATTTGTTATCAATTGTTGTGTAAATTGATGATTATGATAAATGAATATTATGGATGATTATAAGTATTGAACCTACTGATTAAAATAAGTATTTATGATTGAATCATGAATAAAATGAATACATTAATAATTATGAAATGATTTGTAGTGTTAAGGGTATCTAGAAGAACTCTAAGGTATTCACAACAACAACAACAACAACAACCCATGTGAATCCCACAACACTAGGGTCTGGGGAGGGTGTGTGTACGCAGACCTTGCCCCTACTCGGAAGTAGGGAGGTTGTTTCCAAGAGACCCTCGACTCCACCTGCACAAAAATATGGAAGGGAACACAGTATAACACAGATAAAGTACCAAGTACAAGCAACACGTACAAGCAATAGCAGAAGATTCCTAACAAATACAACACACCACAAAACAACTTCTACAACACCGAGCTCCTATCCAGCTACTCTAATCCTAGTTTTCCAAAGGTTCCTATCTAGGGCCATATCCTCAGTTAGGTCGAGAAGTCCTAAATCCTGCCTAATCACCTCCTTCCAATTCT